AGCCTTTTCTAAACACTCATTGCGTAACTGCTGCAAGCACAGTTGCCTGATACTCCCTCCAACTCTAATATTAAACATTTAAGGGTAGTTGGCCATCATTCACTATGATATTTTTTGCATTCTTCTAAAAATCGTGGTATCCGCTAAACAGTTGCGAAGAATTTTGTGCCAATTGTTCATGCAGTGGCTGAAGACGATGAAGAATTATGGCTGCATGAAAAGGGTATGTGCCGCAGTTAATGGCTGAACAAAAACAAACCTTAGTAATGGGTTGGAGCATTGAACGGCCCACTCGTTGCGCCAATTGCATTGTGCGATGACTGCTTGTTCTTTCACTGAATTAGAACGTTGTCGTATTAACGCGATTGCTTTCCCGACACCAAGCTTGCCTAAGGCTTGCAAGTTTGCCAGCAAGTCCCAGGCACCGGCGTCGCTCAGTGGTTAAATACTGGGTTGGCACCCAGCGGACTCACGTTCGAGCCCCATGGTACGTTGGTACTAGTTTTTTTTGTCAAATTGCCCGCTATGTAGTTACGGACACCGGCGGAGGCGGTGGCGGACAACTACGGCGCTGCGCGAGATCCGAGTTGTGATCTCAAAGCACCTTTTGCTGTAAAACCAACTGCTCGCTCTGCATATTCGTTCACAGGCCACCCGTAAACATAGGCTATGGATCTTGACTTCCAAGGTAGTGACGGTGAGAGATTTCTCCTTTTCGTTGTTGAACACTGAAAATGCGAAGCGTGTGCGTTGAATAATGGTGAACTTCGGGTCTCGGTGTCCAATCAGAGTCTTCTGTGTCTCATTGCCCATTACGAGCAATTAGCATGCTCTAGTGAAAAAAAAAACGATCCATCACTACCTTCTTTTCGCCTTCCCAGGCTTCTTTTCTTCACAACGCTGCGATTAGCGCCAGCGTCAACGTCGCCACCAGTGCAGGCGATTGCGCCCACTGCATCGCTTCTACACACGGTTCTCTCTAGCAAGAGATGGCGTAATTTTTTGGAGGGGGGGATGGTGTCTGGGCCGTATTGTTTTGTCTGACATATTGTAACGGAAGCGCCGTGATGGTGCTTCCGCCACGGGGTAGTGATGTTACGGTGCAACATCTACAAAGCAAGCGTGGCACTTGATGAAGATGACGAAGATGCTTGTGCGTTAAGCGCTTGCGCGAGAGGCAACTCCGCCACCTTGTTTGACTGCCGATACAGTGTTGACGCTACACCATACACCTACATCTTGCCATGTCACAATATAATAAACATCAATGGGCACGGGAATGAACCTAGAAATATTTCTTGTGAAACCAAACATGCCACGAACTAGTGAAGAAAAAGAAACTGCGGGCAAGCTGTGTGGTGTATCGTTTTCTAACTATTCCATAGGAAGTTCTAACACCATATGCCTCTCCTTTCTCCCCCCAAAATACACCAGGCCGCACACATAACTTATCAACCATTGTTAAAGGGACTAAAATAGAGCTGTTGTACGTTGAGAAAGGTTCAGACGCAGCTTGGCAAAATGTGCTTTAAGAGGCAGGTCTGGCTACCAGCGAGCGGCGTGCGTGATCTACTACAACATCAACCGATCATCATCGTCTTCTTCAATAACAGCAGAACGTCCGATATTCAGATTCCTTACAATTACTTCCCGCGAAATAAGGAGCCATCCTGGTGACCTATGGATAAGTAAACACGAGAGGGTCGTAGCAGGGCTCAAGTTTCGACACGTGGACCATTTCCTGGCCACGACGAGGTTGGTCAGAAGATGGTTCCAGCGGCTCGTTGAGGTAATTCACCGGTGACGTTTTTTGTAGTATACGATGGGGGCCGTGATACTTGGGGACCAACTTGGTAGAAAGGCCAGGGTGCCACGAGCACGTCTCCGTGGTATAGGTGATTCACTGAGACACCGGAACCAAGGCCCGGTTGCTCGAGTGAGGGCAAAGGCGCTCGCGTTAGCTTCGGAGGGAGGCGGGTAGGCATAGCTTGGTCACGCACTAGGACACCGTACCACCCTTTGGCCGAGCGTACGCAGAGGGGCAACAAAAGGTGAGCGTTCACCTCGGGCGTGAGGCGCCGTCAGCGAATTCCGACGAGCTCTGAGCGACGGGAGTCAAGGGCGGAAAAAATTGCGTGGCTCACCGTCAGCTGTCCCGCAGAGCCTCTGACCCGCTCCTGATGCACGCGCGCAAAACATCTCGGGAGACTCGGCGCGCGACGCCACAGTCAACATCCGCTACCGGGTGAGAGGGTTCAAACGTCATTCCCGCTCTTCCAGCGTGGCAGACAGCGGAGGAGAGGAGTCATGTCGGGACGGGAGAATGGCAGAAAAGGCGGCAAGTGCCGCGCAAAGGCAGCGGGCTAGCCTCAATTTCCACAAAAGTCATGTTATCCATAGAGCCTTTATTATTTAAACTTAAGATATTAGTTTTAAATAAGCATGATCACTTTGATGATTGTGAACTTGAGAATGTTCAGTGGTCTAACATTTTTGAAGCATAAATACCTTTTGTCGGAAGAAAATACATCACGCAGATACTCATACACCGCACAATATTGTTGTCTGAAAATTTCCAAAGTAGAAAAATGGGGAGAAATTCCTGAAGGCGTATATGCGACATAACCTGCAGTTATGGTATTTACCTTCGACTATCTTGCGTAAACTTTTCCTCTTAATATGTAAGCCAAATGCGGTATTGAAACACGAAAAACGTATTTTCGGAATAAATACCCTGAACAAAAAAAATTGAAGAAAACATGAACTTCACTTTCAAGAGCCGATGAAGATAGCGTAATCTGTCAACGCACTCATCGCCTTCCGACTTACAAGCCTGCTTCGGTTCCTGGTGTATGCCTAAACCACTGCGCAAGAAAACTAATGACTGTGTCTGTAACATTTACATCTCAAAGTATGATTGAATGCATACGAGAAGCACTGAATGGCCCAATAATATGCGAATGGCCCACTATGCCTATACGTATAGGGCAGCACCCGAACCTAGCAGCTGCTCATGGGGGCGCTGCTGATGATCAATGAATAGATGTGCGCGCTTATATGACTTATATACGCTTATATATGAATTATATGACCTCGAAAACACTAACTCGCTGCTGAATTTAGATGTTTTGATGACTGGTGCAATTTCACCCTTCTGCCACGCATTGTATGACGCGATAAAGAGACTCCTATTACTTCAAGGCAGACATATAGTGTTTCTTTTCGAAGACGTGTAAGAAAATGTCATAGCTCTTTGTCAGAACATTCATTTGCCATGCAGCTGGCCCGGGTTTGATCCTTAGTCAGACCCGCGATTGTTTAATAATATTTATTTTATCTTTCTGGGATTTCCGGTCACGAAAAAATCAGGATTTTTTGCTCACAACGGACGACCCCAACGCCGATGCCGGAATATCTACGGAAAAAGCCCTTAAACGCTATGGCGCTAGAATACCCTGAACATATTTTGGGAAATTTCTAAGACTCTCTTGTGACCAAACCAATGTTTCCCGTCCAAATATTCTCAATATTTGATGTTTTCAATGCAATAAGTCAGCTTTATTTTTTAATTCACTCGAGATGGTTGCTAAATTTATGGAGGTGTTACCCAGAAGTTATTATGGGCCAGCCATTTATTATGAACATAAAACGAGAATATATTTTTGTTCTTAAAAGCACAGGCCGACATTAGTACGAAATAGCAATGACAGCAGTCCAGCCTCATGTGAAGAAATGTGATGGAAGAGGAACGGTGTAGGTTGATTTGATTGCGGATATATCTTTTTGACGGGATATTATCCAGCATTACAATCTACATATACCCACGCATTTTCTACTTGCTTGTTGGTTGCTTCGATGAGCTGTATCCAGCTGGTGTGGAAAGACATGTGCACGAATAAAATACAAAATCAAAAGAATCGTTATTCTTGAAGCTGTTTTATCTTCAAATAATCCGCAGAAATGGCTCATAAATGCTCCAAAGTAAAGTGCATAAAGTAGGCAGAAAGTAATTAGGGTGCCAACCTCAGTTTTTTGTCAACAGACAGAGTTGTAATGTCGCCAATCAGGCGCAAATGATCCACCAAGGTCAATCCTGCCCAGCTGCGATATGTCACGTATGGTGGTATTATATACGAGCCATTCTGATTCTCTCTAAACGCATTCTGAAGTGAATACGTACAAACCAAAGAAAGTTACGTAGTATTGCGCCTACTAACATGTACCGGTATTCTTCTTTTCTGTTTTTTTTGGTACGGATGCAATAAAGGGCTGCTAAAGGCTCTGAGAGAATAGGTTCGAAATCGTTTTTCATGTACTGCCTCTTTCTGTTTCCTCTTATTTTACAGTACTCTTTGTTCTTGCACGCATTCTAGTCACACTGATCACTTGATACTTAATATTGCTGATGTGTTCACTTGAACGCCCTGGGTATGCTTATATTTTGTAAACGGCGTTATTTTACATCAGTTGGTGTCTGGTGTCTAGCCGGCCATAGTTGCGATTAGCGAGTGCATTACCTCTTGTTTCCTACTATATAGCTGCGTTTTGCTTTTCTAATCATTCAGCTTTCATTGTTAATTTTTATACGTGAAAATGACAGAAAAAAAAGGAAAAAACTGAAACATTTTGCATTCCTTTATTTGCTTCCTTGTATTAGGCTACTGAAGCGTTAAGATTTTTCCGCATGTACTTTTTGAAGACATCTGACGTAGTGAGTCAATTTCCTGTCGGCTATAATGTCTCGAAGTTACATATCGAAACACACTTTTTAATTGGTGCTCGTGCTAGCACACAACTAGTTGATTTGAGGACAGTGTGTTGATCGCTCTTGTAACGTGAAGCAACCTGGAAAAGGAAAGACTGGGAAAGCAAACCAATGTAAAAAAAAAACAAGCGCTTGAAGTTAGACAATTGTGGTTGCGCAATTTTAATGTATTGAGTCGAAGTTTAGTCGTGCCAACCACTTCACAGAGTATTTTCTTTGTTCCTTTTTTTTGCAGCGTCAGAATGTGCAAACTTCAGCTTCCCCAACTTTTTAGGCATTGGAAGCGTAAGTTCGACTGCATCTTTTATTTCAAATTTTCGATTTTTCGAGAAGGAGTCTGGTTTCCGAGAATGCATGCACCCCAAGCTTTTACTTGGCTCTGTCAGAACAGACGAAGAGCAAATTACGAATTGACCGTCAATAACATCTAAGTAGTTTAAGTAGGACTTCAAGCATATAAGTTTATTGGCGTGTGCAATCAACTTGATATCCCTCAGTGGTTATAGCTGGGGCATTTGACGAAGAATAACAGCATAACAAGCGCTGGGCCACGCATCATTTATTTCTGTGGGTAACAGAATATTTATTGCCTGAAATATCTCATAATATACAAATTTCACCTGTATTTTCCAATAGGCTTGAAGCCTATTGGAAAATAAAGTAGTGCGAGACAGACATTTCATTTGTATATTCTTTATAAAAAAGAGGCAGTGAACAAAATTGAGATAAGTTGGAATGGCAATGTTCAATACGCAAAATTTGTGGTTTTTCACGGCGCGAAAATGCGTATTTGTTTCGTCATTTATTGACATAAACACGCCCTTTAAATGCTGATTGAAGATCTATTCGGCAAGGAATAAACTAGAAAATGTATCCTTTGATAACGAGGGTTCTGATGAAATGGTGGGGAGGGCAGGTAGGGAAAGAGCATGATAATAGGCGCTAACATCCAACTGAGTGTATTATGAATATTATGATAATATAGGGTCATAAAAAAGCACATAGGTAGAAATTTCTTCATGAAAACATAGTTACGCAGTAGAAGTTAGCGATACCAAGCCAAAGAAAAACAAAAATATGGCATCCTCGCACTAATTATTATAAGCCCGAAGAAATGGTGGAGCTAGGCGGCCTTGCTCTGACTACCAGTTAAGCCTAGCTGAGTCTAGAGAAGGTTAAGTAGGCCTGCATACAGACACATGAGCATAGAGAACGGCATTGCAGCCTGGCAAAGGAAAGTAGAGCGTCTCTCCTTGTTTGTTTCTCTTCCTATCTACACTTCTTCATTTTCTTGTCTGTTTTTCGAGCTTTCTTTTTCTTACCCTTGGATAAAGAGTTTCATTTGATCATCGAGTCTGCTGCCTTGGTCTACGTCACGACCTCGTGACAATATCATTGGTAGATATTTGTCGCATAAAGGAAAAGTTGTGATCAATATACTGAAGTAATTTACCCTTTCAGCATGTGTAACCTTATTGCACTGGTTTTATTTACCGTTGGTCAATTCAATTTCAACGCTCATTTCATTTATCCAAAATTCTAGCCACTGTTTCATTGATCTTCTTGTTTTTCTAGTGCCTGAACTCTTCTGGGGATTTGTGTACGTCTGGCTCGGTAAGTACTTGTTCGAGAAACTTCATTTTCTGCCAATTCCAAATATATTTTGCCCTGACGAGCTCGGTTTCTAACTGATATATGTTCAATAGAATTATAGAGATATTCAAGCACTCATGTTCTTTGAGCGCATGCACCCACAAAGGGAAAGAAAAGCAGAATATCCAGAGATGCTTGAAGGTGTTCATCATAGCTCTCTCTCGTTACTGGCTACTTAATTTTACTGCTAAGTGCCCTCGAATCAATTCAGACTCCTTGTGACATCAGTTAAGGGTCACCAGTATTTTTCCTTAAATAAGTGCTCCAAGCTCACAGCCAGAATTTCTGTGGCCTTTCAAGGGCCATCTATGAAATCTGTGGATAGCCGACCTTCGTTTTTCCCGAGTTATGCTTTGTCTAAACATTATATTTAGGTCTATCGCACAGGCAGCTTACATGAAATGACCACAACAATAAAGTGTATTATTCATAACTTTTCTAGGAAAGAAATTCACGATAGACCTCTATGACAGTGAAGGTGTTCTATTGTTTGGTAGGTGATTCGATTGTAAGAGTGCTAGGCACGTATTTTTCATGCATATGGGGTGAGTAAGAAAGTATGGTGAAAAATCCCAACTTGTCTCATCGTTGACCCTTAACCTAATTTGCGTATTAAACTCTTTTCTGTGGGTGCTTCTTGCAAGCTTACACATTACAAAACTTATGTTGGAGCTGTCTGAATGAAGCGCATGAAAAACACGAATAGACAAAGAGGACTGAAAATTTTAGGGTTTATTACGTTCATGGCTATTGGTGTATATTCAGGTTATCTGCTCTTCACAAGGGACGAAAACTGTTGCCTCGAAAAAGAAAATTGAACATGTAAGTTCACTGGCGAAAAAAATTTGCAGCGTAAACAACAATTGCATCCACTACAATCAGTTATTGGTTTCGCCGCTCTTTGTTACACTATAGTTGTGGACAACGTTTTTCGCAATGAAGAAACAACTTTTTTCGCAAAAGGCTACAGGTTCAAACTACGCGGGCGCCACCACTTAGGAATAAATCCCATAATTTCGTCCATATTTTCTGCTTGAGAAGTGAAGAAAACAACATTGATTTATTTTCCTACAGAACGCTCTTTAAAAGAGACACAATTTTTGTGCACCTCACAGTCCTAACTGTAAAAATGGCCTCCTCACTATCAGATGCGCGCTCGTCTCCCTCGAGCTTTTTCAACAAGTCACCGCAGGAGCTTGTTGCGAATCTGACGAACAAATGGCTGTCGCAGTAGACAAAGCAAATAGAGTGCAACGTTTACGCTGTCACCACACGTGCCCATCCGGAGCTCAGCACCGTCACCGTGCATAAGAAAGTATGTGAGCTGACTGGCGTGAGTATGCGTGCCGTGAGCCGGATAAAAGGTGATGCTCTTCGAGGTCTGCTGCTGTCCTTTAAGCGGAGGAATGCCCTCTTCAAGCGAGGGAGAAGTTAAAAAAAAACTGGAACCAGAATGCAGCTCTATGACAATTTTACGCTTGGTGCGTTGTCAAGTAAACTGCAGCAGTACTTCTTGCGTAACGAGCTGCCGACATCGACGAAACTAGTTCAGGATGTGTCCACTGACCCCAACATGCAGATGCTAGGTGTCAGTGAAAGGACTGTGTGCCAACTGCTGAACGACATTGACATTACTTTTCGAAAAATAAAACACAACTCTGCCCAACTGGAAAGACAGGACATCGTCGTGTGGCGCAGAAGGTACCTGTGTACCCTGAGGCAGATGCGGAAGAAAAACAAGTATGTTTACCAAATGCTCGTTCCTTGGTTCCTTGCGCGTATCTACGTTTAATATGGCAGTGCTGAAGTAGCGCTGGTTTCGTCTTGCGATGCTGTGTATTTTTTTTTTTGCGGGGGCAGCTTTGGTAAATTTTGCGAACGTGTATGTTGAATAGCCAGAAGTAATATCAAATGTGCAGTCTTTCTTATTGCAGGACTGTGTATTTTTTAGACGAGACATGGGTGACCGCATGACACACCAAATATACCGTGTTATAAGACACATGTTCTTACAAGAGGAGATGCCTTCCGACAAGGCACAACGATGGGTCTGCGAGCAACATCTGGCACAGAGGTCACCTGATCGTGCTTAACGCTGGCAGCGAGAAGGGATTTGTGGAATGAGCGCGCCTCGTCTTTCGTGCGAAGAAGGCATCAGGAGACTACCATGCAGAATTAAATGGCAACCGATGTGAAAAGTAGTTCTTGGAACACCTAATGCCGAAATATTGAACCGGTTAGAGTAACTGTCATGGACAATGCGAGCTACCACAGCATGACCTTATCAAGGTGCCCCGCTTCGTCGACTAGAAAAGACATCATTCAGTCGTTGTTGCGAAGCAAGGGCAGTCCTTTTTATGCTGATCAGCTAAAGGACTTAGCTGCTGGAGCTTGTGAATGAACACAAGAACAAGTATGCTGGGCACAGAATTGACACCCTCGCTAAGCAGCTGGTCGTGATGTCTTACTGTTGCTGCCGTATCACTGCGAACTAAATTCGATCGAGGTAGTTTGGAGTCAGGTGAAAGGATTCAAGCTTGGTGAGGTAGAATAGCTCTTGCTCGCAGGCATTGACTTGGTGAGCGAAGAAAACTAGGGGTGGTACTGCGCTCATGAGGATAAAATTGAAAAGGAATCCTGGGAGAAAGGAGGCAAAATCGATTACGATATTCAGAGCCTGAACACAGAGCTAGGCTCAGACGCAAGCACAAGCTCTGAAAGCAGAGGAAATGAGACGAGCGCCGTGAAAGAAATGTTCTGAGCGCTTTGTGCTTCCTACTGGATGCACCAAGAGAAAAAAATCACAGCATATCCGCGAAGTGGTTGATGATGAGTGTGGGAAGCTCCGTGGAATTATTTGGGTAACTTTGAATCCCTTGTATATTGCCCACTCGAATATTGAAATAAGAGGCAACACGTATGCCCAGTATATACGATGTTGTTTTATTGGTTTTATAAGATATTGAAATCCGGACTTTGCTTTACCTTCATTAAGACTGCCTTATCATCAGTGAAAAGAAGAACAAATGAATCTTGAATGTTATGTAAGCTAGTGGGAAGTTCGCGAAGACGAGCTGTATGCACATCCCACTGGCTGTGGTTGGTTGTTTATAATCAAATGAAATACATCCTAGAGCGCATCACGATGTCATGTACTGTACAAGTAAGTTCTTGTTCTTGATATCTAAATAATGTCACCAGTCTGGTTCAGCTTGCGGACTTTAACGCGCCGCTGCAGCATCGCAGGAAACAGCGCATTCACGATCGCTTTATCTGTGGCAGAAAGAAAAAAGTCCCAAGCATTTTCCCGAGGGTGAACATGGTTAAGTGCGAATACACGGGGTGATGCTTTGAGGGGTATTTATTAATTCGCACTATTATATTTATTATCACACTATGGTGCCTTTATGGTGTAATGGTTCCTGGGTATCGCAATTTGATCACACGGGGGAGTTTACGTTAACTTACTGGCGAATGCCAACGGATTTTAACTTTACTCCCCCTCACGACCCGCTCTCGACGGGAGACTGAGAGAGAAGGCGGGCGCGCGAGAGAGAGGGGTGCGCGCGCAGCTGCAGCGAGCGAGGAGAGCGGAGGATCGAGCGAAGGGGGAGGGGGTATAAGGCGCGTTACTGACACCGATATCAGCGTCGCGTCCGTGGCTTATTCGGTAGAGCGTTACGCTGCGGCCCGCCAAGTCCTCTTTCTTTTAAAGATAGAGAGAAGACTGCGGACGCCGCGGACGGCGGTGGATGGTTTGGGGTCGCTTATAAAGTGTGTTCACACTTAAAAATGTGTGGTCTGTAACACGCTTGTTCTTCATCGTCATCAGCGTCATCGTCGTCGGTGGCTATGGCGCACAAAGCCAACGCCCCCAAGTGGCAAGGCTCGGCCTTGAGGAGCTTTGCCTCTAAAAATAAATGTGCATTGAAAATTCGGAACCATTAGGTGAACGTGAAACGCCTCAGTTTGTGATCAGTTCTTTTAAAGATCAGGCTCTTATTTGAGATAAAACAACTGTATCAATAGAATATTTTACTAAACAGACACACCTTTACCAGTAGAAGCCGTACCACAAAGCTAAGGCACGAGGCACATCATAATGAACATTGCTATGACATGAGCATTACTTGCGCTAAAATGTTCCTGATAAATTTTTACGTGAGTTCGAAACAATGAACAAGTCAAACGTAGTTTATTCGCTATCACAAATTTTTATTTACGTACATTTTTTTTCTTTAGAGCTACACGAGAACACACTCGTTGGAACACTTGAGCGGCCGTCACTGGAGATACGGAAGGTTCACAACTGAAACTAAAATTGAAACGTGGGCCGAACCGGACTACTTGGCGGAGGAGTACATGTGAAGTGTCTTCGTGCCCGCAGCTTTCCTTTCGTTGCCAAAAAGGTTGTCCGTGACTATAGGAGAGTTTAGTACATGCCACTGCAATCATCATAAGAAGGGTGATAAAATGCGTTTTCATATGTAATGATTCCGCTAGTAAGTATGTTACGGTGGCATTCGCGTAACGTCTGTATGAAAATTTATTGTCTGTTGTTTTTTTTAGGTAATGTGACTGTTTTCTGTTTTGCCTGTGTAAGATACCTGCTTTCATAAACTATCTTGGGGATACGATAGTTCGATTTGCAAGAATGTTGACGATGGTGTTTGAAGCTCTCAGCGTGCGCTATTTTCGAAATTTGTTGCTTTGTTCTTGATAGCCCGTATACCACAGAAATGAATATCTTGAAAATATTTAAAGATTTCTTATCTCTTTTGCGCATGTCTGCAGGAAGGTATCGTCGGTTTCGCATGTGAACTGATACAGGTAAGAATCAGTTATTTGCTTTCAAGTATTTTTAACTAACAGCAGCAATATTGATACGATATTAGAGGACACCTGAGAAATTAAGGCATCCTAACTGAGCCTATAAGACACTGCAGTAATCATGAAGGCAGAAATATCGCAAGAACTCGAGGCTTGTAAATTGGCCCCGACACCAAGTTGATCAAAGCGCACGTGAATTACACATGTACACATAAATAGTTATGGCTATAGAACAAGACATTATTGTACTTAAAAGGTAATTTGCATTCCCTTCAATCACGTAACCACTGACGCAGCCCCAATCACTACCGAGGTAATGATCAGCAGCACGATGCTTAACAGTAGTGGTGTGCAATAATAATAATAATAATAATAATAATAATAATAATAATAATAATAATAATAATAATAATAATAATAATAATAATAATAATAATAATAATAATAATAATAATAATAATAATAATAATAATAATAATATAATAATAATAATAATAATAATAATAATAATAATAATAATAGCTATGATTCTGTATTTATAATCATATATTCTATAATATATAATCAATAAGAGGTACGATAAATGAAAAAGGTAGCTCGCAGCAATAAGCCCGGCAAGTCGGTACATGAGAGACGACGCACAGCAATACCGTATGACATCACCCGCCACTAATAAAAACACACACTCGAAAGACACAAATACGACGGCACGGACGGCCCTTCCGAATCATTTATTTCACGCATGAAACGGAGCATGCGTGCACATGTTGCATGTACGTACGTGCGCAGAATGGCCAACAACACTGCGTGACCTGGTATGCTCCGAAACGATTTAATCGCTGAAGGCTGCATCTGCATTGACGTGGCACTGAAGTATTGAGTACCTAACTTAGCAATTTGAAACGCGTCTATTAACTTACATTCATAAACTAAGTGGGGAATGCATCAGTGACACGTCGATACAGCGGCAGTCTTCAGAGATTACCTTGCTTGATAGCGGCCTTTGTTTGGCAGTATTGTTAGCCGTTCTGTGCACGTGTATGCCACATGTATACGCCCGCTCTGTTTGATGCGTGAAATGAAAGAGTTGGAAGTGCTGTCCACGTCATTGTGTTCATGTCTTTACTGTGTTCAACTGGCGAGCACAAAAAAGGGGTTGGTATAGGAGCAGAAGAAGGAATTGGTTAACGCGTAAGATCAATAGGGCGGAGTTAATTGAAAGATTATATGGCGCATGTGTTTCCAAACTTTGAGGTGCTCCTTCAAAGAAACACTTATGCTTCTTGCGTCGGGAAATGATTGTCGTACAGAAGATGCACACGAGATGTGTGACGGTATTCTTAGTTACATATGTGGTTCCTTGTCTCAAGGTAAAATACTGTTGTAAGTGGGCGTTTGTGTGTGTCAAGGCCCTTCTCTCTCTTCATCTTATGCGCTTTCAGCTTGTATCTTTCTAGAGTGTTTTGTGTTCTGTAGAGGCGCAAATTCCATGCGATTGGCAATACCAACTCGGCCAAGAAGAAGCTCTCCTCAAGCACAGCGACATTGAATGAAAAGTTGGTTACGAATCTAAATCAAGGAAGAAAAAAAATAAGGACAGACTTGTAGCTTATTTGCACTATGCTTTTGCACGCAATAACGTAGAATAATCGATGTAACCTTTGCATAAAAAATATCTTACCAACAGAACATGTAGGTCACACTGATTTCCTTTTAAATGGTTTGTATCCGGTATGAACAAAATATTTCCACGTTCCTTGCTCAAGTTTTGTTATCGACCCTTTACACTGAACGTATTTCTTAGCCCGAACCGTGACTGCATTTTTCAAGAAGCCTCGGGACTGTAGTAGATAATTTCGTTAAGATCAGGTCCACTTTGCGAACTATACAGGTTATTCTGCAACCTACGTGACTGCGAGCGATAACACTAAAATATTCGACGACACGTGTAAAATGCCGCGCGCTTAACCGCGTGTCAGTTCTTCGACGGCCGAGTCTGTATTCGCCGCTGTCAGTGGCCGTGTATTGCAGTAACCTAATCTTCAGTTTCCTGGCCACAATATTGGTGGAATAACCAGTTCATCTTAGCATAAGTCTGCTCCTTTCGGGCACGTCACGACCGCGTGACATCTGATGGAGGTGCTGAGTATCGATGCCCGTACCTCTCCTACGTGACATTCGCGTAGCAACACTGCCATGGAAGAAATGATGCAAGTGACGCCATACAAGTTGGTGTATGGGAAGAGCCCGGTCACGGCACTCGGCGCAGTGTTACGCAACGTAAACGATGAAAAAAAAACACCGACGTGACTGTCTACCTTCAGCGCGCTGAAGGAGCATGACAGCTCGCCAAACTCCGTATGGAAATTCAACAGGTGACCGACAGCCGCTGTTAGAATCTTTGACGACGCTTCGTGTAAAACCAGGCTGATGTACGTGTTTGATTATCGACGCCTATACACGGACGTGGACTCAGTGAAAAACTTCTGTCGCGGTACTTCGAATCATACAGGGTAGTGCGACGTTTCGACTCACTCTACCAAGTGTTCGCCCCTCATGGCACCACGAACTCTCAACGGTTCCGGTCGCAACCTGATGTCGTCCAAGTAGCACGCCTTGCGCCGTTTCATACGCGTTAATGTGCTGAAAGAGTGCATTCGGTTGCTGTTGTTTTTGTGGTTGTTATTGCTGTATTATGATATATTTCGTGTACTATCTTGTATTATTATTGTACTTTGATCTTCTGTTAAAGCATAGGAACGATGCCTTTTTCAGAGGAGTGGGAGGGGGCAATGCCACGTTCCTTCCTCAAGTTTCGTTATTGCACTGTTACTCTGTACTCAATTCTCCGCACGAACCATGCCTACAGTGTTCAAGAAGCTTCAGGACTCTAGTAGATCATTTCTTTAGGATCACTCCCACTTCGGGAACATTAAGGATTATTCTAGACCCTACATGGCCGATAGCGATAATGCTAGAATATTCGACGACACGTTTGTAAGTGCCGCTGCACTGCACCACTTGTAAGTTGATTGACGGCCGACGCTCTATTCGCCACTATCAGTGTCCGTGTATTGCTTTAATCGGACCTTCAGTTTCCTGCCCACAAGTTCCACCGAATAATCAGTTTCATCTCAGCATCGAGTCTGCTCCCTTCGTCATGACGCCATGACAATAATATTGAACACACGGAGTATAAACAATACAGCATTGAGGTGACCTTGGATACTTCTTAAAGTACAATTTTCTGCTGCAGAAGAAGCATTATTGGTGTGCTCAGTTAAAATGATACGGACATACACCTTTGGTAAAGATTTGCGATATCTTAGTCTAACGAATAGTATAAGAAAGCAAGTAGTAGTAGTAGAAGTGTTCATTTAAATAATAAATATAACAAATTACAATATAATTTTCAAAGACAATGCCTGACAATTCTCTTTAAAACGCAAATTATAGCTTCAAATATTTCTAACGCTCGCTTTTCCTTAAATTTAAAGCAGGCTTACGCTTAGATTGGCGCTTTAAAATTATCAATAAGCCTTTTGTGAATTCATAGCGCGCATGAAGCGTACTCTTGGACTAGCTCCGCCCAGAAGGAAATATCTACACCTGTTCATCAATAGCACGTCCATCATATAACAACGGTATTCGTGAAATGCGCATGCAAGCATCCCCAAAAAGGTAGCGGTGCTGACCATCGATCAGCATGGATGACGTCATCATGATTTATCACAGTCTAAAGGTAGTATATTGAATTGTCGCATGTAATGGCATCTGCGGCAGCAGAGCTGGCTGCTATGAAATCTGCTGTGCAACACATCGTAGAAGAGCGACTGCGGAAATGAGCCATATTCTGTGACTCAAATGCAGCACACCAGAGTCTGCGGTTTACAGCCCGTAAGAGAGCACAATAGCAATGCATACATGAGCCTGAAAAACTGCAACCAAGCAAACATAACAGCTTAATTCAGTAGTTACCCTGACATGTCGGTATTAGTGAGAATCAGCTGATGACACAGCCCGTTCAGCTCATGAAGGAATCAGCGTGGTGCTGATCCTAACATCAAGGTCTGATGCGGCAATAATACTTTATTTGATGGTCGGGAATCTTGAACGCATGTTTGGATTGTATGTAAACTTCCAAAGGTATCAGCTAAATACATAGTCAGAGCACAAATTTCGCGCTTCAATTCGACGTTGTTATGCTGCCTTTGGATCAGTGATACATTTAGAATGGCGTACCAGTTTTGCATCCGTATGTCATACACCGCTACCTTGCACTCCTGTGAAACTGAAGACAGAATCGAACAGGCGCTGTGCAGCTGTGCTCGCTATGACACTCAGCGATACTCGCTTCGAATCTGCTTGGACTAACAGGAGAGCAGGCCACCTTCTGTAAACAAGACTCTACGACCATTGATATGTACTTCGAGGGCCCAGACGGCTACGAAAGGGCCACTTGTGTGAGCTTCTGCAGACGTCATGTACTCCCACAAGTGTGATTCTGGCTGTTGTTGTGAGTCGCGTCCGTGGGCGCCATGCTGGACATGAGAGAAATGGCTGGGCAGCGTTCCCACGCCCGGAAACCCAGTTCTCTCGGAACGAGCATCAATCAGCGGTAAGTGACAAAAGGATTAGATTATGGCAACTTCGACGGTCCGTGAGCCAACGTACCTACAAGCATTTGCTCCAGGCTGGCTTGTTTGGGGAGACGGTGAGGCAGCCCGACCGCGTATGTCGTGTCTAAGCAATGAAAGTCTCTACTCCTTGGCTGCCCTTCCACGGAAAGACTGAAGCAATAACCCAACCACCACCTTCTTCCGGGAAGGAACCCATATCCCTTTTCCTCAGTGAAACTCGGACTGGAGTAGCATTGCGTCAGGAGATATGACTCCTATTCGGCGACCATGTGTTATTGACTGATGCTCTGGAGAGTTGTATCTTGTGTGTGATTGGTGCTTCATTCAAAGAGGAAGAGCCCGACAGGGCTTAAAACAATGCTTGAAAGTGCTGGATGGGGCTCTGAACCATGCTTTAACGGTTCAACCACCATGCTCGTGGTTTGTGAAACTTCTAACCTCTCTATGCTGTAAATAAGGGTAAGTAGTGCCAATTTGCCGGTTTGTTTTTCATATCCCCAACTTGTCAGCGTTCGTTTCCTCCATCCGAAGTTGCACTACGCTACCACAGGAATCCGGGTCTGTCATAATGCCTAGTTCACACTGAAACATCCGCTTTCTACAGCGAGCGAAATTCCCCTGCCGCCGAAACGCAGCGTCGTTCGCACTGGACGCGCCCCGCGGCGCCAAATATGCCATCTACTACGGGGCGAACGCGGGATCGATGCGCTGTCACCCGGTTGTTGTCGCGGCTCGCAAACGCTACTACGCTACCCGGTGGTGTATACTTCGACGATTCTCGTATGCAAGAAGCAAGAAACGACAGTACTGCTTACTTTGCTGGCAAGTGGCTGTCTTGTAATGCACGAAGAGCAGAAAAACCACCGACGCCAGCGGCGTTGGTGGGTTCGTTTTGCTCTGCAAGACCGCAACAAGCTAGGTCATGCCAATAGCAAGCTCGGTAACCTCTTTCACGAAATACGGAGGCGAAGTAGGCACAGAGTAGGTTAAACTCCCGTTGGTTTCAACATTCAGTTACGTGCACTGCGGCATAACAAGTGAGTAGGGCTTCGCCACCATTTCTCAAAATTCCTTGACTAGCGCTCTTATTGGTCCGTGGTGACCGATTCGGCGGCAGACGCCGCAAAAATCGGTCCGTGAGCGGTCGGCGTGGACACGGCCCTTTCGGCGGATCACGCCGCCGCCGAACCGGATTCGGAGCACTTTCGGCGGCCGGAATGCTCAGTGTGAACGCGGCCTAACTCTGACGTCTCGGCAACCCACGTCAGCGGAGACGCGTCGGGTAGGCCCGGTCCACAACACTGTGCCCATGTCTCCATTTTTATTTCTACTAGATGCGAAGCATGTTATGGTAGAGTTCAATACAATGTGCGTGCCTGTGATGTGACCACCCTTATTGCGCATGCGCGTCCCCCCTTTCTCTCTCTCTCACCTCGCAGCTCTGGCAGCTTCTGCTAGCGAGTTCTTGAATGAAAAACAAAAAAATTGGGTGAGCCTTAAGCTTCGTTTTCTTTAGTTGAACGCGGTAGCGGAATTCGGCCCCTTGCGCGCCATTTAACCGCTAAGCGCATACTTATTATTATTTTTTTACACACGCACACACACACAGGCCACACAACAGATGCGCACACACGCACGCGCGCGTAAGCCTGACGTATCTATAGCAATGCAGTAACTTTGCAGTGTGGCCAGTTCCCTCTGCTAGATCTGCGCTATAGCTGCTGTATTCGAGGAACGTTTTTCACACTGTCTCACAGGTGGCACACACACACACCCACACGCGCGCGCGCGTGGATGGTACATGCAGGTTTTTGATCTAAAGCAAGAGTCAAACGGCATCCAAGATACACGCCAGTGCACTTGCCATCTGAAAAGCCACAGCCGCCTGGATCGGGCACGTGCAGCGCTCGATCCAGGTGGTTGTGGAGAGGTAATAAAGAGTCTCCCAGTGAGCCACAGATGGCAGCACATCATTTAGCGTTTGCTGTTTGCTTGATCAACACCTCTGGAAAGGCATCAAATGTTTTGCGCTAGATATACATAGTTGTCCATTTTAAATCTGTTTGAAAGTTCCTGTGTATTTTAAGAAGCGATGGCCGCATAATCTCGGCCTTCTTCAACGTAGTTTGATGGCCGCCCAAATGCGCCTACAAATCGCGGAATCCATTTGTTTCCGTCGTGACACCTGTCGAACAAAATGAGTTAAGGAGATTCCTTGCTCTTCATGCCATTCTGATATTTTTTTCTCAAAGCAGCTGTAAATAACATGGTAGATTTCTGGCAGACATCTGCTTGCGACGCAAACGGCTCGGGTTTGATATATATTCTTTATTTTATTTTCTTTTTTCTCGATTTCTCGATCACGGAAGATTTTTCGCTCACAACCAACATTGCCAACACCAATGGCGGAATTTCTGTGACACGTGCTCTTTAACTCTATCGCGTTAAAACCGACTACTCGCACTGCACTACCGTTCGCTGGCAATCCCCTTTATATAGGCACTGAATCTTGACCTCTAAAGAAGCCCTGTTAGAAATCCTCCTGTGTGTTGTTGAAGAATAATAATTCGCACATTGCTCGTTAACTAATAGCTGACTCCGGGTCTTTGTGTCCCATCTGAGTCGTCCATTTCCCACTTTCCAAACACCGGTTCATCGCTGCATGCTTCGCACCTTCCCAAGATTCTCTCCTGTGCTCCACAATGAGCGCCAACGTCAACATCGCCGCTAGAGTAAGCGCTAGTACCCGCTAGTTCCCATTACCACATGGTTCCCTTTAGTGAGACATAGCATTATTTTCGAAGGGGCGTAGGGCGTATTATTTTGCCCGACATATATCACATAGTACACGCCCATAGAATGAACGTAGAAATAATTGATGCACAACCAAGCATGCCATGAGCAAATGAGGAAAGAGAAACCATGCGCATGTTTTGCAAAGTCTCAATCTCGTGTATTTTTTTCCTTACCCTCTTCACCCTTTCCTTAGTGGACGGTAGCAAACCGGAAGTGCGTCTGCTTAACCTCCCTGCCTTTCGTTTCTTTTTCTCTCTTTGTCTCTTTGAATACAATGAAATAGAGAGCATCTGAGATTGTTTGCGGCAGTGACTAGAAAACGAAATGTAGCGACGAACACAGGAGAAATCCAGAAACGAATCAAGCGTTATCCAGCGCTTTGCCTGCTTCTGTCTGTGCGTAGTTCACGTTGTGTCTCGTTTTTCATAACATTCAGCAACCTAACAAAAAAAAAACACTCTAGACTAAAACGTGGTCACCGCTGGTTTTCGATGTGTCGAAGTGAAATTGGGTTCCAACAGAATCTCATGTCCCATCCTGCGGTCTAATCTCGAGCTGCTCACTCTGACATTCTAGTTTGTAGCCAAAGCGTCTTATTCATTTTCCAGTGCACTTTTGCCGGGCTCGCGAACCTTGACCTACAATCGCAGAGGTACTTGACAATAGAGTTCCTGAAGTTCCTTCTACGTGCGGAAACAGACGACTTTGGTGAGTCGGGCTAAGCGCAAAATTGCTTTGTACTAAGCTTATATCTTAATTAGGCTACTCGTTTAAGTCACTTTACATTTACGAGTTGGATGTTTAGTTTTCATTTCTGCAGTTAGTTTTTAGCCAACAATGACGGATGGATAATTATTGTCATATTTTCGCTTGGCCAATTCATCCTCCAACTCACATGGAATGAAACCAACGGGTGGCTTTAAAACAACAAGTATTCGACATAGCCCAACCTTAGCCAACTTTATAAACTATCACCCATCTTTAATTGATCTTTAGCTTACATTAGGCAATACTAGCAGCATTAGAGGTGAGAGGGCAGCTACTAAAGCAAAGCCTCACTACAGGCTTAACTTGGCCGGATTTTATCGCCATCATCGTACCACGTGAGAAATTGCAAGAAAGAGACTCGGGAATGCTTTTTACTGAAAAACTAAATAAATATCTTTTCACCTGATTGTGCCAAATACCACGTTACTTATTTTTGAAAATTTGTTGTAGTCAATCGTTATTCTTTGCTAGCATACCATGCCTGGAACAAGCATACGTAGTGATAACGTTGCCAATGTGTTTGCTGTAGATACGGATGTCGTAGGTTGGGTAACAGGCTCAGACACGCATTAACTTGTGTTCAAAGATCATGAGATGTTTCGTTCTGTGCATAAGGCACATGTTCTGATGTCTTTGTGACCTCAAAATATTTCATCACGATGTATGTCACACCGATTGCTTCGTTCCTTCAGACGGACTGGTGGGCTAGTTCTTTGCTATGTGTAACTGGGAACTGGTCTTCCTAAGCCTTTTTTATGCGTTAAGCTTTTTCAGTAAATAAGATGTTTACGAATTGACAGTATCTACGTGCTAATGAAGTTATTTTTTTACAGTTGTGGTATATCCTTTCATCATCAACGCATGCAAGAGCATCAGCTCGGGGCTCGGTCTTCTGACTGGAAATATTCTTAATATTAATTGTGGTGAGCTGAACTACGACTTAATCGCGGTGTGCAGTGATCCTATTTTCATATCAGCCCAGGCTACCACACCATTTGCAGAGGCAAGAACACTCTATTTTTTGTTTTGTTTTTTTATTTAAATGCATGTAAGGAGAGGTTGGTGCCTTTTTTGTTTTGTTGATCGTATTGTTTGACCTATCACCAAGAATAACGCCTGCGCGTAGCACTCTGGAATAAACGCTATATTTGTACCTGTATTCTGCAGCTATTCCTGCTCTGAATGTGTCAGGTCGAACTTTTTTTGGCGTCATGCCATGCCAAACATCCCAGCCATTTTGGCGACCATCTAAAATGTATTTAAAAATATATGCTGATTTACTGCATTGAAATCAGTGAAACGGTAGAATACTTAGGCAAGAAAAAAATGTTTTGGCCACGTGGCTGCTATTCTGAACTTCCCGAATGTTGTTTTGGTGTTTTTTGTGAAAACATTTATTTTGAATTACCGCTCCTTTTTTATATACCAAATTTGGTCTGCACGGTAAGCAAAGATTTTCGTATAACATGTTTTAAGATCAGCAATATTAGTTCAATTTATATAGCACATACGCATCCAAAAATTTAGCGAAAATTTGTTATGTTGTTATACTTGTATTTTTCAATTGCAATACAGCACTTTGTATTAATATTTGACTAGTTAATACTTACTTTGCAGAAGATATATATTGAATAAAAATATTTTTAGACCTCTAGAGCTGCGGAAATTTACGATAAAAATTCACAATCCCATATTATTATTTTTGTTCATAATGAGATGCAATTTGCTGCATGCGTGGTCCAAATATAAATAACATTATGCCTAAATCGAAAGCAAAAAAAAAGTTCTTTGCGTATGGCAAACCTTATTCTCTTGTTTTAAGGAAGGAAATCGTTTTCGAATTTTCCTATTTACGTCAATGGAAAATTTCAGGGCTGAATCTGTCGTATGACCAATTGAGAAGATAAGTGCCAATGGGAAAGTTCAAAAACTATTTCCTTCCTTAAAACAAAGAAATGTAATAATAAAATTTACCACGTAGAAAAAACTGCCTATTTGTTTTTGATTTAGGTATAAAGGTGATTTTCAATTAGACCGCAACATGGTGCGAATAGCGTATCAATGTGGAGAAAAATGATGATATCTCGAAATTACTAATCTTTTCTTGTGAAGTTCGCTAGCTTGGGAGGTCTAAAAATAATTTTCTTTCAAATATACCTTCTGTGGCGTAAGTTTTAACCACTAAATTATTCATACAAATTTCAGTATAGCAATAAAAATGCAAACATTACACATTTGGCTAAACTCGTGGAGGCCTATGTGCAGAAAAGTTGCGCTAATATTGCTGAATTTCGAAGAACACACACGAAAGCCTTTACTTAACATGTAGGCCAAATTTAGTATAAAAATATGAAGCGGTACTTTAAAAAATTTTCACAAACTACACCCGAATTAACATTCCAGGAAGTTCAGAAGGCAGGCACGTGACCAAAGTTTTTTCTCTCAATGAAGTAGCAAGTCACAGTTTAAAGCGGTAAGTTAGCACGATTTTTTTTCTATTGCATTTGAGATGGTTGCCGAAACGACTGGCACCTTTAGCGTGAAATGACCATTAAGAGAAAGTGTTTTCCGAGCTCATCTCAATAGCTTGACGCATAACCGAGAAGAATTGGAAAGATTATTGCTTTTAGTATGCGTCTGAAAGTACGTTCGTGTTTTGTCACTAGTAGAGTTTTCTATAAATACCATAGAGGAAAGTCTGGTGTTGTCTATTGGAGCTGCAACGCATGCTGCTTTAGACAACAAGAAATTTATGGGTAGCGCACAAATGGATTTGTCTCATATTTGTTTCTTCGGCTCCGTTTGGCTGCTGAGGGCATCAGTGAGTTTTGACGCAAAACGAAGTTCAGTTAAGATTGAGCAGTTAACTATCACAACCTAGACATTTCAGGCTCATCAATTGAAACCGTCTAACGATGTTCGTGACAGTTCATTTTTTCATTCGAAAGAAAGTCGAAACACAACCACAAAGAGAGCCACAATGCATTTGAAGCTCGTAAGCACGAAAAGAAGGCTAATTTCTGTACTACTCCTCATTTCCTCGCTGTCTTAACAATCACCGTGTCAGTGTTCCCTCTAGGTAAGTTGAGAGAACTTTATGCTGTCAGTGACGTAAACAAGAATTTACAGTGTACAAAACTTGAAGTGCTTCTTTGTCGTTGAGTTGATGAACCTTGCAAAGAATTTACTCCCTTAGCTTTCTGACCCTTTGACATCTTCGACATTTTGAAAATCTTGCTACGTACCATCAGTGAATCTTCTCATCAAGCGAAAATAAAGCGAGAGTTTAAGCGAACGTAAAAGCGAATAAAAGCGAAAATCTAGCCTTATCAGTGTCTCCTTTATGACAACTTGAAATACATCAGAAATATTTCTGAAAAGACACTGCCTAATCTTTTTTTGTTGTTGTGCGGACTACGATATTTCATTCTCCCACAGTGCTTGGGTGTGAACGGACTGACTTGCGATGGCTTTGAGCCAGTTTATGTGAGTACGTTTTTGTGCTGGCGAGCACGTATCTTGCATGACATGACTAGACAACTCGCGTAAAGTCGTTGGTGCTGATTTGTTTTCTCTAATTATATCTTTGCTGCTCGTAACTTGTCGCCTTTTTTACGGCTCTGTACCAATGCGATCTGCTAGTTATTTAGGTCTTGCAAAAGTCGGCATAAAAACCGAAATAGTGCCACGTGGCAGCCAAACCTTGAGCATTCATCAATCAAGTAAACTTTAGGCATTTCTTGCGACATATTTGTAACATAAGCAACAGACAACGCGAAACTGCGGATTGGCAGAATCGTAAGTGACTGAACTCACATTTTTCATCTTAATGCATTCGCTATTTATAAAGCTCCTACCAGTACGCGCCACTGGCCTTGAACCTCAATTTCGACTGAAATTGAACACGGACAAAAAAGTCCTAGTTGAATTTCTAAGCTCAAGCAATGAATGCGATTGCAACAAATTGAAATGTAATACGAAGAATGGCAAGAAGGTCAAAACATGCTGCGCGTTGCTCCCGCACAAATCACGCACAAAACGTAATCACAGGTTCAGATTAACGCGAACCAACAATTAGGTATCACTGTAGTACTTCGCTGTATCTGAAAAGTGCGCCCTTTTCGCAAACGGGGGCTGTGCAGCGAGCGAAGTGACCTTTGTGCGCTCGACAACTACTACGCAATCGTTCCATTGAAAGCTAATTCGTACAATTCTTCGCAATGCGAGATAAGCGCGCAAACACCCGATCACCTACCTCCCCCCTACCTCTTCACGGGAATATGCTTTGCATGTGCTATATGGTCCCCATACCAAGAATATCTAAGAACCTCGCTTGGACCCATACAGAATAAGGCTGCATGGTATATCACTCAGAATTTCGATCGGTTCACCAGCATAACACAGCAATACTTCTTAACAGCACCTAGATATCCAACGCAACATTGCCTTGTTTTGTCTTCTTGACAAGTATGTCTAATCTAAGAAGCCTTATATATTACCACTCGAAAGACCCACAGGTACATCCTCTAGACTACATAATCGTGTTATGTTCAAGCGCATTTTTGGTTAAATGACTGCTTTCAATTTATCACCTGTACCTTCTGACATATCTTACAGGAATGATCTAATGAAATTGTTTTAATAAGTGACCATAATATTGTTCGTGATCATCTGAAGGTACTTTTTTTACTTAATCTGTTTTGATTTTTCTTCTGCTTGATTACCAGGTTTCCTGTTCTACTTGTTCACCATGTGTTTTTTTCTGTGTACAGTTGCTTTAAATGTATTATTGTGCGGTTTCTGTTGGATTGACACAATCACCTGTGATTGTGTCAATGCCCCTTTTACTCAATGCTCAACAGGGTTTGTAAGGTATCTTCTAAAATAATAAATAAATAAATACGCGTAGAAGATTAGTGCATGATCATCGCGACGAACACGGCGCTGAGTGCGCTCGTTGCGCCACCTGGCTGGTAATGCTTAATTTAAAGACGACGCTGACGTTTACTCCGAAATAGGTACCGCCAGCAGTCAGTGTTGTATATAGACAGCTTGCCGTTTGAAGGTTCAGGGGTGTGCGTCTTCGTGGCTCAGTGGCTACCGAGACGCCCTTTGAAGCGAGAGAGGTCGCAAATTCAGTTCTGCGTGCCGTAAAGTATTTTTCTGAATGATTTTTCTTTGTTAATGTTCTATATAAATTAAAATACTTATATTTATACGTAACATGACGGCGGCAACAAACGGCGACGCCTAAAGTCAATGTAGAGTATATCGCAATACTCGTTGTCAGTTGTTTTCCACACACACACACACACACACACACACACACACACACACACACACACACACACACACACACACACACACACACACACACACACATATATATATATATATATATATATATATATATATATATATATATGGTGCACTATATATATATGGGAGTGCTACGGTGCAGTGATGACGTAATGGTTGGTTTTCGATCGGGCAGTTGCAAAACGCGGTGCGGTGGAGGGTAAATTCTTCCTGCAAACAGATCTAGCTGCCTTTCATTGAGAGGGTGCTTTAATTGCTCTAGTTTCAACAGCCGATTAATTTTTGGTGTCCCAATGCGTGAGCAGTGCTTTTGACTGCGGCGACCGAGCGCGGTTGTCTGTGGATGGTCGGTTATAGGCGAATCTTCGTCGTAGTCGTCATTGTCTTCTTTAAACCAAATGATCACATCTTCTTTTATCTTTTCCCTAGACTCATTGTTTTGAAAATATGTGGGTGAGGTAGAATTTTAAGGCATCACCGGAGACGTAGTCGGTAAAGTCGATGATCATCTCCCGTTCCGATCATGATGCAGCGGTTGCGTGGAGCTCGAACAGGTCGAAACAGTCCTGTACAGGTCCATCGTCCGCTGCTCAGGTGTACTTGGGGATGGGAAGGGCAGTCGATGATTCTGGCATGGTGCTGGTCGCTGTGTGCGGCGAGGAGATGATTCCGTAGTCGATGTATGGTCAGGGCGTCTTGTGGAGAACTGCGTCGATGATGAGACACTGATGAAGGGGCTGGAAGGTCTGCATCCTGTCGACTCGTGTGATGCTATGATGAATGGGAGACGTGGCCTGGCTCATACGCCACGTTTATTCTATTCTCACTTCTTCCTTCTCGGCTTCTACTTCTAACTCCAAACCATCGCTACCTTCTTACGTTATATATATATGTGACGCTATGATGAATGGGAGACGTGGCCTGGCTCATACGCCATGTTTATTCCAAAAGCACTTCTTCCTTCTCTGCTTTTACAAACCATCACTTCATACGTCACATGATTCCCCCTCCACCCGAAAGAATGAGCACGTTACAATCAACAAAACAACAAAAAGCATAAAGCGAAGAATGTCAAAATGCACGGTAGTTCGATTTCATAAGGGAGTTTCTTATCTCGCACAAAAGCTTCACAGCAGAGGGCAGCTGTCCGGTCAAATCTAGGGTAGCTCTGGTGGACGAGGCTGGGTGTTACGCCCAGGATAGCATAAGCATGCTTTGAGCGTGAAATCAGATGGAAACACTGCCGGTATTCTTGCGATGAATGAACGTGGTGTGATGGCCTTGAGGCATTGGCTGGATGATTTGCGCAGGTGTCGTGCTATTTGTCTTGATTGGAACCCATGCGTCGCCACCCGTTCACGTGCTTGTTGACCGAGGCTGGTGCGGTGATTTCTGCGTCGTTGCGTAATACAGGTTACGGTTTGGCGCCTTTCTCGACGTTGTATGTCGTGTTGCCTGAGTCTTGATCTGGACTGGAGAAAGCTTACTCGACGTCCCTTGGGAAAATATCCTGGATTCGATGCTTTCTTTGTTTCGAGCGAGAAATCTTGAATATGTCGTCGGTTTGGTTGACACGTTTGTAAACGGCTTTCCATAAACCACGTGTGTTCTTCCGAAGATGATTCCATTCGTCGTCGTCCTTGTTCGTATAGCCCTTGGAATCTCTGTTGTTCTTGGACTTGCTGGCATTGATAATGTTGCTGCGAAAAGACCTGAGGTGGCAGCCCTTTTTCACCATGACACTGACTTTCTGGGCATTTGAATGTGGTGTCGAGTGGGCAGGTAGCAGTCTCTAGGCTGTTGTGCTGCATTTCGGGTAATGAAGGTAATGCTTCAGAGTTGACAGATACTTCATCAGGGGATTCTTCGCTGTTCGCTGCGAGTGGTTCTTGCTCCTGAATCTGGATGGTAGGTTCAGGGCTTGGCTGAGTATTCTCCGAGCTCCGCAGCTCTATCCCGACCATTGTGAGCGTGCTATATGTGAGGTGGGCGTTGTGAGCGACGAAAGAGCCAAGTGGCGGGAAACCAGGAGGTAGCCCAATTGTGCTAGATGGAAAATAAGCCGATCCAATGTGTGAAGACTGATTTTCGTCATGGCGTTGTTCTGCATTATCCTCATGTGTCAGCTGGTCTACCATGAGCAAGGCGTTCTTATGACACGAATAGTGACCGTTAGGAGCCTTTGAAGAGCTGCGTCGTAGAAAACCAGGTGGTGGACCATGTATGCGAGACGACGCATGAAAGGCATCAGTAGGGTGAGTGACGTCTCGTGTCGTATGTTGAAGCGATGATTTCGGAAATGCTGACTTTCGCGCAGAAGGGATGCGCGCAGGTCGAAACAGTCCTGTACAGGTCCATCGTCCGCTGCTCAGGTGTACTTGGGGATTGGAAGGGCAGTCGATGATTTTGGCATGGTGCTGGTCGCTGTGTGCGGCGAGGAGATGATTCCCTAGTCGATGTATGGTCAGGGCGTCTTGTGGAGAACTGCGTCGATGATGAGACACTGATGAAGGGGCTGGAAGGTCTGCATTCTGTCGGCTCGTGTGATGCTATGATAAATGGGAGACGTGGCCTGGCTCATACGCCACGTTTATTCTATTCTCACTTCTTCCTTCTCGGCTTCTACTTCTAACTCCAAACCATCGCTACCTTCTTACGTTATATATATATGTGACGCTATGATGAATGGGAGACGTGGCCTGGCTCATACGCCATGTTTATTCTAAAAGCACTTCTTCCTTCTCTGCTTTTACAAACCATCACTTCATACGTCACATGATTCCCCATCCACCCGAAAGAATGAGCACGTTACAATCAACAAAACAACAAAAAGCATAAAGCGAAGAATGTCAAAATGCACGGTAGTTCGATTTCATAAGGGAGTTTCTTATCTCGCACAAAAGCTTCACAGCAGAGGGCAGCTGTCCGGTCAAATCTAGGGTAGCTCTGGTGGACGAGGCTGGGTGTTACGCCCAGGATAGCATAAGCATGCTTTGAGCGTGAAATCAGATGGAAACACTGCCGGTATTCTTGCGATGAATGAACGTAGTGTGATGGCCTTGAAGCATTGGCTGGATGATTTGCGCAGGTGTCGTGCTATTTGTCTTGATTGGAACCCATGCGTCGCCACCCGTTCACGTGCTTGTTGACCGAGGCTGGTGCGGTGA